CCCGCCCTCTCTGCATCCAGCCCCGCCCCCCGATTCCTCTGACCCTCCCCCTTCCCTAGCCAGGCTCAGCCCTCGACTGTTCTGCGGGCTCCCACCCCCTCCCCCGCACAGGCTCCACCCCCTTTACTTTGTAGCCTTGGCGCCCCGCCCTCTGGCTCCTCCCTCTGCATGTTTCCCCGCCCCCTCCGGCTTGCTCTGCAGGCCTAGGAAGCCTGGCTTTGGCTTTTTCTGCTGTTCATCTTGCTGTCAGGGGCCACTCACCTCCCCCCCCCCCACCTCACTGATCCTCTAGGTCCCGCCTCTGGCTCCTCCCTCTTCATCAGGCCCCTCCCCCTCACTCCGCCCAGTCCGTTGCATGTGGGCCCCGCCCCCTGCTGCCTGCCTCTGCCCCTGTCCTCACCCCTCTGCATCAGGCCCCGCCCCCTAGGTCCCCTAGCTCTCCTTTCTGCCCTACACCTATCCTCGTGCATAGAGGTCCCGTCCCTCGGGGTCCCCCACCCGAGACCCCGCCCCCGGCACCCTCTGCCCCCCACCTGCCCCCCTCCCTGCTCTTCTCCAGGCCTTGTGCCTACCTCCCTCAGCCCCACACCTACGTTCAACTCCATGTAGGTCCCGCCCCCTCGCTGCACCTCCTTTTGCTCTTTCCACCCTCACCTCACATTTTCATCATCCATCTTTTCCCTCACCGTCCTCCTACCTGCCGCCCCCCCCCAGTCCCTCACTACCCTCCCACCTGTCTGCTCTTTTCCCCTGTAGCTTCTCATTACTTCGCCTCCCTTCTTCCCTCCCCACTCTCTGCCCTGACTTGTCCTTTGCCTTCTCACTTCTCCCTCCTCGTACCCTCAGAATCACGCCCTTCTGGCCGGCTTCACCCCCTCCCCATCTCCATCTTCTTTCTCGCTTCCTTCTCCCCTCTTGGCCCCGCCCCCTCCGCTGCCCCCAAGCCCCGCCCCTCATCTCTGCCTGATCCCGCCCTCGCTTATCTTTCAGTCCCGCCCCCTCGCTTCTGTCTTACAGCCTCCACCCTTCAGTCGCAAATTCCTCAAGCCTGTCTGGGACCAAACGTCTGTCTCCCAGCCTTGTTCTCACTTCCCCCACCTCCTCAGTGGTCCAGACCTCTCCAGTCTAGTCCACTTCCGTTCTCCCTGAGGCCTGGCCACTTAGTACTCCAGAGTCCGAGTCTTCGGTTCCTACCTCCTCTGCAATGCCTTCACCACCATCCCCCTCAATGCCACATCCTTGAGTCCCTGTTGTGGCGGGATCCACCCCTCCACCCCGCTGTCCCCCACCCCGCTCCAGCTGTGCCTCCTTGTGCACTCTGAGTCTTCAGAGGAATGTTGGGGTTCCCAGGTGCACCTTCAAGGGTGAGCGCCAAGCTTGCTGTGGGTCTGACAGCAACAGGATAGTTGTATACAGGGAGAGGCGAGCTCGCCGTCGTAGCTGACCCTGGTCCAGAGTCTGGACCACTGACTGCCCTTGGCCTCCTCGTCCCTTCTCCCTCTCCTTTCCCCGCAGACAGTAGCAGTTTGAATCCATCCCTAAGGCTGGATGGCAGGGCTGGCATAGGGCCTGCTTTGGGGCTTTCCAGCTCAGAAGAGGAAATACAGCGTTAAGTCTGAGGCCTTACAGGGATTTCCCTGGATTTTTCTGTTCTCAGGCAGTGTGGTCGGACTGAGCCTTTGGGTAAGGTCTGTGACCATGGTGGTGTCCTCCCCCAACGGTGGAAATTCTTGGAAAGTTTGTAGCTGTTGAGTGTTCTGCTTAAGAAAAGATGGATATTTTTCTCTGGAGGTGTCAGGTCAGATAATGTTTTGAAGTAGAACCCAGACCCTGGGTCTTGTTGGACATCGTTGCCCCTGAACAAGCAGCAGGTGACTGGAGGGCACTCTCACGGTGGATGCCGTCTACGTCCCTGTGTTGGCCGTTACTTTTAGAAAGTTGTCTTTGCCAGTCATCCTTGTGAACGTTTGCTCATGGCACTGGGCTCGGTTTTAGTGATAATCCACGCTGGTTTTGGTCGTCTGTTAAAGTGACTGGCTTGGGGAGTTTTAGTAGAAATGAGATCAGTGGCTTAGAGATCCTAATGACCGTGGTTGTGTCAGGTGTCTGTTAACAGTTCCTAGACAGCTGGTCAAGGGAGGCTTCCTGGGCTGGTCTTAGCATTGAAGACTCGGGAAGACTTGGGAAGTTCTTAGGTGGCCTTTGATGGGGATGGACCAGGGGACGGGTATTATTAATCAATGGTCTGAGAGCCGCGGTGAGTGTGCTCCTGGGATGGAGGGTTGGTGGCGATGTGGGATGACAGTTGTGTGAAAAGCTCAGATCCAGCCATTTATTGATGATGAGGTAGGCTTTGCCTTCATCTCTCTGCTGTCACAGGAAGTGAGAATGGTTGGGTAGCAATCTCTCTAAAGTTAAATCCTGTGACGGAGTTTCAGCACTTACTTAGTATTTATATTGGGGGGAAAATGACTTTTTAAAATGAGAGCTCTTGGGACCGGGGAGACGGCTCAGTCAGGAAAGGGCTTGTCCAGCAAGCATGGGGACTTAAGCTGGATCCCAGCACCCACCTAGAAATCGAATGTGGCCCCAGGTCCTGGTGAGACACCCTGTCCCAAAAAACAAGTCGGAGGCTCCTGAGGAATGGCGCCCGAGGTTGACCTCTGGCCTGCATGCACACGTGTGTGGGTGTACCTGCACACCCAAGCCCGAACACATAGAATAAAAAGGAGGGCTGTGTCACCTTGCAGTGAACACCACACAGCATCGAACAGTGCAGACACTGGAGTGGCTAACGAGCCTTGAGAACTTTGGGCTCTGCAGTTGGCTTTGGGGAACAGAGCCTGTCAGATTAGGGCACTTGAATCAGTCAGACTAGCAGTTCATGACGTGCAGCCAATTAATTACCGGTCAGGGTCTCCATTCCCTCTTTTTGATGAGACTTCAGCCCTGTTTATTATAAACATCTTTGATCTCCTACACGATCCATCAGTGTGGTTACCCATGTACTTCACATGGCTCTTGGCCTGTGTGCAGGCTTTCTGTTCTCAGCCCTGAGATGCAGAGGTTTGTGTTGAAGGGTAGCACTTCTGTTTGATGTGTGTCAAGACTTAATTTGGTGCATTGATCACATTTGTGCTTTCTTTTTTTTCCCCTGGGACCCCCCCCCCCCTTAAATTGTTGGGTAATACATCAGAATGCTTTGGAAAGCTGCTCTTTAAAGTAGAAAAGAATTTCAAGTTTCTGTGTTAAAGTTAATATAATTTTAGTGAGTATCTTTGTGTTATTTAGTAGTAACTGTTTCATGAGGTTTAGGGGCATCAATATGTGCAAAATCTAGTAGTCTTATTACTGAGCACTATCTTGTAGACATCTTAGAGTTCTCTAGAGAATGCAACCCTTTTGGAAATTTGGATTTCTAAATCAGTGGGAGTTGTAAGACTTGTGTTCCTGTGAGGTCCACAAAGAACCCTAGTACTTGCTCAGGACACTTGGGTCCACACATGAATCCTAAGTGCTTGCTTAGGATACTTGGGTCCGCAAATGAACCCCGGTACTTCAGACAAATGGAGACTGGACTCCGAGGTTTCATGCTGCTCTTTAAAGACTGTGCTTTGTCTCAGCCTTTTTGTGCCTGTTTTTATCCCTTTAAAACTGTTTTTCCTTTTTAGATTTAGTAATTTCATGTGTTCAAGGGTTTTGCTTGCATGTGTGGATGTGCACCATAGCGTGCCTGGAGCCCTGGAAGGTCAGAAGTGGGTATCGAGTCCTCTGGGCCTGGAGTTAACAGTTGCCAGCCGCAATGGGGGTGGTAGGAATTGAACTTGGAGCCTCTGCCCTTAACCACTGAACTACTACCTTTCCAATCCGGCTTTTATACCCTGAACTCACCTGGACCTCCTTGTATTTTCTTGCCTTTTAGAGCCAGGACTGTGTCCCATGAAGAGAAATTATAACTGCAATTAGAGGGAGGAAATTGGTCTGGCTTGCTGTGTCTGGACACGTGAGACCATTTTTCACGTTGACATAGGTGTGCGGCAAGGCCCCGCCAGCGTCTCTCCATTCGAATGGTGCAAGTTGGAGTGAAGTAGCTGTAGTCACAGTCGCTAGTGCTTACGGTTTGGCGGCCTGATTGATACGGTGGATCTTAAAAAGACGAAGGGAGCCGTCAGGAGTGCTGACTGTCAGTTTGCTCCAGCAGAGAGAGAGTCCAAGACCAGGAGTAACATGGTAA